AGCATTTTCTACGGGATCCTGAAACCACCAGCCACCCCGACCTAATTCATGATGAGCCCACCAACTTCCTGGCAAGTCTCCTTTCTAAGTGATCCATTGTGTGTCACGTCGTCCCAGTCAAAGAAGGTAAGAAGGAGTAGGCTCAATAGAAAGTGAACTCAGACCTTGTCTTTCACGCATGGGGAGGAAGGAGATAACAAGAACCAAGTTGGTGGTATCTGGGGAATGGCTTCAATGGAGAAAGAGGGGTCGGAAAGTGAAAGGGCAGAGCATATGTAGCTCCTGATATAGGATAATTCCAGATAGTGTAGTTATGTCGAGCGACAGAAGGGAGTCTGAAGACTAAAGATAAGAATAGTCTTTCTAAGATGAATGCCGCTTGAATGAGTTTAAGAGGTGAAAGAGTGAAAGAAAACTCTTCCTTTTTAGGTCGGGTTAAAGAAGGGTCTCATCGGGGTATTCACCTACCGGGTTTTAACAAGCCAATTGGACGGGAAATACAAAACATGCCAACCGTGTTTTGGTACTTTTCTCTCATTTCTCAGGAATTTCGATCTATGCCCGGGCTTTCATCCCTAGTTTTAGGCGATGGGGCTTGCCCGAGTCTACCTATCATTCCAGCGCTCTCCTCAAGCCCTATCTCGGTGTAAGCAGTTCGTTCTAGGATTTCCCCAAAGGTATTCCTTCTATCTTCCCTGGATTGATCAGCAGACGGAAGGCGCAACAACAAGACAAATTCCCCTTCTCCTTTCCTTTCGATTTCTATACTCAATTACGTAATCTGGGCTAAAGCACAGCAGTCCTAGAGCCTATTCCTTTTGTATTTCGAGATAAAATAATTACCACTACCACGGCCCTCTATTCCCCGGGTCCTCAATCAATCATGAGTACTACTCACGGCCCGAGGCACAGCCGAAGCTTCGAGCCCCTCCGCTGAGCAGCCCGAGAAGCTCATAGAGCGGATCCGCCATCTTCGGAGAACGGATGGAATGCGTATCCCGGCCAAAAAATGGAGCGCTTGGTCGACATGATCGTGAACGAGCATGGGGGAATAGAAAATCTTCCGCATATCCGCTAGGATATGCAGAGCAACGGCCGGGAGAGTCTTTTTTTTTTTTTTTAGAAATCCCTCACCTACGCTCAAATAATAGAAAGAATCCCACGAAAGGAACAAGCGAGAAAACTAAAGCGCTAGCGCACTCTAGCAAGAAAAGAAGGACAATATAGGAACTACTTCTAAGATAGAATAAAAAGAATAACTTTTGCTGGGGTGGGTTCCGGAGCTGACCACGACGTATCAAGTCACCACCAAAAGGGCTTATTGTGCATCTCCCTTTAGGCGCAAGAGGCGCCAGCAAATTTATTATGTAAGGAATTACAAAAAAAATTCTTTCAACAAAGATGTGAATTAGGAAGAATTGGTCGACGAAATATGAACCGTAGAATGAATCTTGATATACCTCAGAACACTACATTTTTGTTACCGCCTTGCTACAATTGCTTTAGCGCGAGCAGCAAGGAAAGGGCTGTCAGTGCGAAAAGGGAAGGGCATGACAGAAGGGAGATAGACCTCCTATAAGCATTACTCTCTTTTGAGGTAACTTGCTTACTCTGATATGATTAGTTCCGTGGGCTAGTAAGATCACTATTGAGGTGAGGGTCCGAAGGAGGCTCAATTTCACTATTCAGGAGTAAGGGAAATCAAATGCGATCTAAGCAAGACGCCCTGGAATTCCATTCTGTAGGAAAGGAGGCGTCAGGTACATTTGGAATTTCCTATTTGATGACACTTTTTTAGTTAGGGATAGTAATAGGGATAGTTACACCATATATTTTGATATTGAAAATCAAATTTTTGAAATTGACAACCTAAATAACCTTTCTAATTAAGAAAGGGCAGTTCTGTCGATTCCCAATCTCGAAACTGAGAGTGCGAAGTCACAAGCTGATGAGCTATATGTGAAGTTAAAAAACCCAGTTAAGTTGATGGCTCTTCACCTCAAGGGCTATAGAAGAAGTCAGTGTCAACGGTTCTCTACCATATGCCGTTTGGCAGGTGCAGGGTTTAGGACCTGCTTTCTCAAGATTGGCTGACCTGCTAGTCTAAAGCTAGTTTAGTCCTTACTCTAACAAGTAAGTGACTGTGTACCTCATAGAACTACTATAAGTGACTTACGTACCTCGCCCGAAAGCGAGTGACTACACGTACCTTTATCCGATTTGATATTTTTGCTACACCCATTTTTCTTCCAATCAATTCAAAATAATCCAACGTCAACTGCTCTACTCTAATTCATAGGTTTTTGTATTGACCCCGGGATCTATTGAAACAATGGAAGAAGAGTATGGGCATATAAAAAAAGAAAGCAACCAAGTTATCCTTACTCTAACAAGTAAGCAAGTAAACTTCATCCACACTTCCATTCCTTGTAGAGGAAGGCTAACTGCTTGTTGGCTGGGAGCTGTATGAGCGGTAACATCCACGTACGGCTCCGTGAGAAGGGCAGTGGACAGAAATGGCCTTGTTGTACCTCACTCTCGTCTTCAGTGGGGTATGCTCTTTTTTTTTGGGAGAGTATGCCATGGCAATTAGGATTTCAAGACGCAGCAACACCTATGATGCAAGGAATAATAGACTTACATCACGATATATTTTTCTTCCTCATTCTGATTTTGGTTTTCGTATTATGGATCTTGGTTCGCGCTTTATGGCATTTCCACTATCAAAAAAATCCAATCCCGCAAAGAATTGTATCTTTTTGATCAGAGGTTGAATCGATCTAATCGATGAAATGATAGAGTGAGAAAGGTGCTAAGGCGCATTACGAAATTGATTCAAAAGAACTCTCAAAGAATATCGTAGATGATAGTGGCTTTCCTTCTTACGTGAGCTAGTTGATCGAGAAACTTTCGCCCAACTCAAAAATGTCTTCAAAGAAAGAAGACTAGGGCGCATGGGACTCTCAATAACGGGGAATAAAGACTCAGAGTTTTTTTTAATCACACGTCGTAAACAGGTACCATAAGAATTCTTATTCATATTATGAATAATACTTCCCGATAAACTAATATTTAATCCACCTACTAATATACTACTACCTAATATACTAATATTTATTTAATATTGGAATTGAATGAACAAAACAATATAAAGAAAATATCCATTAAGAAAATATTCATTGCCCCACATTCTCCATAGGGCCCTCTTATCTCTTCCTTCTCCGAGCTCATGTTATGGAAGAAGGAGAAGAAGGAACCGAGAAGAAAGTATCAGCAACAACCGGTTTTATTACGGGACAGCTCATGATGTTCATATCGATCTATTATGCGCCTCTGCATCTAGCATTGGGTAGACCTCATACAATAACTGTCCTAGCTCTACCGTATCTTTTGTTTCATTTCTTCTGGAACAATCACAAACACTTTTTTGAAAACTCAGGAAGAGCTCGGGCAAAACAAAAATAGATGGTGAAAGCCCCTTTCTATTATATTAGTAAAGCGCGCTCCTTGCATGACGTCATATCATTCATTATTAAAGCGAAAGCGACAACGTGTCACCCTAACCTTAAAATCGATAAACGGGAATGCATTATCTAATAATGAGCAATGCTGGTAACAGCAAATGGTTCCTAACCTCATAAAAATCAGAGTACGGCATATTCGACTATCCGGCAACACGCTTGGATAAGTAACGCGATGAACCGTACCTGTATCTCTAGGCGCTATGATGTCTTATTATGTAGATCATGTCTTGCTTGAGGGTTCCAAACCCTGCCCTTCTGAGATTTTTTTTTTTTTCAAATTTTATGTTCTATCTTAGGATTATATTTTAAAAATGTTTTAAATATTTTTCAAAAATTATTTAAGGGTATTTTTATCTTCTCATGATGAAGGTTCGAGTCCACTAATGTTATGTATTAATCAGTAATGTACATAAATTAAATTATATGATTTCAATAGTTATGATTTCACTCTTGTTTTTTTTGTTTTTGTTTTTGTTTTTTTTTTTTGTCATCGGGGTGAAATTGAAATAATATTTCAAATTTAAAAGATACTTTCATACACTACACCACAATAAGCTTTTCGTAGCGGTAAGTTATAGCGTTTTTAAAAAAACGTTATATCGTCTATATATAATAGCGTTTATAAATAGTTATAATATTTATATATATTTATATTAAAAGTTCATGAAATTTTAGCTGGTTTATTGTACACGTTAGATTGATATTGGGCGGGCAGTGAAAATATTTTTTTAAAAATTTCAAAATTCTCACTCCCCTCGTTCGCGGAAATTTCAAAACTCCCGCTCCTCCCTCTTTTTTTTTTGGTCTGATTTGGCTTTCCCCTCTTCCACCACTCTACCGAATCCCATACGAACTGAACATAAGAAAAAAAAAACCTCATTCGCCTCTTCCCCTAATCTGTCGAATCCCATTTACTTCCTAAACTCTTCTCACGCGGTGAACCAAACATGAGAGATTTTCTTGCTCTGCCCGCTTCTCCACAAGCTTCAACTTGGAACAATTCCCACTCTTAGGGCTTTTTAGTCACCGAAAGGAAAAAGCCCTGAGGCCCTCTTCTTTCACTCGAAGCCTCTATGACACCTTCGCGCCGCTCAACCCTAATTGCCTTTCCAACACCTTCGTTTCATTCGACGTTGTGTTTTAATGGCGGATTTCTGTTTCAGTCCATTGGTTTCAGTTATAGGGCAAAAACAAAAAACGTCCTGAGGATTGCGTTTGTGCATATTTTCTCCCAATCCGTAGATCTGATTGCTTGTGATTTTGAAGGAAATTTTTGTTAATCTTTTATGTTATTGATTTCCCAATCCATAGTTTCTGTAGATCTGATTGCTTGTGATATTGCTTTTAAATAGTTATTGCAATATGAAGGGCGTTTCTTGTAGTTTCTGTCTTATGTTTTTTTTTTTTTTTGCGCTTTCTTAACAAATGTGTGGAAACAGAGTATGAGTGATTTTGGACTTTGATCTTTTTATGCAATTCTCAATCAAGGTTAGTATTTACATGTAAATTACATGAGAAACTCTCTAAATTTTCGGAACAATTTGGTTTCCGATATTGTGAATCGATGTTTTTTATATATCATCATAATATAAACTTTTGCTAATCATGAGAATGGACCTTGCTTTGCTTTTCTTTCTTTTATCTTTTTCTCTAAAAGAATTTGTTTCTGAATCTGCAGGCAATACTTTCCATAAAGAAGGGTGCATATCTTTTGAAATGTGGAAGAAGAGGGAAGCCCAAGTTTTGTCCTTTCCGGCTTTCTACGGTAGGCATGTTACAATTCAAGAATTAAGAAGACTCTTTGTGAGTTAATCATGAGACATATTATTTTGGTGTAGTACTAGCAGATCATTTTGTTAGTCAAACATCCAATTTGATGTCATCCAACATGCACAATTTCATGAAAAACTAATTTCTTAGATACGGAAACTTTGTAAGCAAACATTAAATGGTTGGTGTAACAAGTCTTACACTTCACCCTAATTGTTACTTTTGATTTACACTGATTAAGCCGAAAAATCTTGCTTTGGTTTCAGCAAAAAGCACAAGACTTAATGCGTAAAGTTAAAGGCGCATACTTGGTGTAGTCAGCAGGGATAATATGTGTTCACACTGCTATTACTTTATGATTTGAGCACGCTAACAAACAAACAGAGAATCAAACAATCTCATTTCTCATGTCATTTAGTTATAGATAATTTAACATTCACAAGTAGGATTTTTCTCTTGAAAAATTGAGCCTTATATAAACCAGAGTTTAAGTAACATATTCATTTCATCAGCTACAAATTGAGCATTTTTGTTTTCGACTTTTCCTATATAGATATGCAAGGACAAAGAGCAAGCTGATTCTTGGATTCTAGGATTTGAGAGTCATAATATCAAGGTGTCACCATCCTAGACCATTTAATAGCTTGAGAGGTCACAAAGGAGTACAAAGTTGTATTAGTAGTCCCGCTGGTCTTATTCAGAGAAAGCATAATCTTGGACTTTTGGAGGATGCCACTGAATTTTCCGAGGTAGGGTTCTTAATTTTCAGAGGTCTTACCTCTGTTATTTTATCATGACCTTTTGTGTATTATGGCCTAGTTCAATTTTTGATTGCACTTTCAGGTACATATACACTGTAGCTATGGTGTTTAATTTGTGTATTATGGCCTAGTTCCTTTATGTCGAGTGATATTTGAAGTTATGACAATAATGTGTTGCTGGTATATACCATTTCGCTTGGAATATTGTTAAACCTTTTTAGTTTAAAACTCCTTGGTAAGTATGCTTTGCTTCACTGTAACGGCCATCCACACCAATATGTCGAAGTTAGCTAAACCTTGGTAGCGTAATTGTCATTGCCTATGAAGTTTGCTCCATACGTGGAACCTTGAGGCCACCACACATTCCTTACATTACATCAAAAATATATACATGGCCGCTTATGGTATGAAATTTAAATGCCATGATTAATATGTGTTTGGAGGCTGTGGATCCTTACGTGGAGTGATTTTCAATGGTGTGATAATTGTTGGTTGCCGGTTTATGCAAAAACTCTTGGCATATTGGTGTATAAACTATGTTCATAAGTGACCTTATATGGAGAATTGGCTTATTGAAAGTGAAGTGAGAACTTTACATTATGCTAAAGTGATGCTAAACCTTGGTAGCAAACTATGTCATAGTCTAGGATAATGCTTCATAAGGAGACGATGAGGGCCATTACACATTTCTGAGCCTACTATGCGCGGAATTGAACAAGGGGGGTATGTCGCCGGAGAAAGTGATCTCTAGGTGCCAAGATGCGAATAATAGGTTGGTTTTCTTTGAGGGGTGTAACTATGCATTTGATTTGGAGGATTTGTTGGAATGGAATTGATTTGCAGAGGCTTATATTTATGATTAGTTTTAGTTTTGCTAATTTGCTTGTTTTGGTTTGGGTTTTCTTTGCTCTTTTGCTATTTTGTTTTGCTTTACTTGTCACCAGGTTTTTTCCTTTCTTTTTTCTTTTTTTTCTTTACGATTTGATCTTTTTTTTTTTGGTAGCCAATTTTCTAAATTGCCTACGGTTTAAATGAATTTTGATGTTGATTGCTGCAGTGCCGTAAAAAAATCATAAATTTTGTGGCCTCTTGTAAGAGTAAGAACGGGGAAAAGCCTTGCACTCTTCACGTCCGTCACAAATCTTTCTTGAACAGGTTAGATTTAGCGACAAATTGGTAGTTTTTAATGCAATTAAGTAGTTTTTAATACAAATTTGACACTAAATTTTTGTCTAGTAAATTTTTTGCCTAGTGCATCATTGAAGCCATGTTTCCTCTAACTCACTGCAAAACATATGTGGATGTGGCTATGTAGTTGTGAATGGTGTAACTAGTCCTTACTTTATTTACAAGTTAAATGGTGGAAGTTTTAGCTGAATTAGATTATTGTTTTGATAGTGGATCACTTTCTTACATGTTAAATAATGGAAATGACTTTTTTGTTGAAGCATTTTGTCAAGATTGAAGGATTTACTTCACCATTGCACTTAAACGTTTTGGAGATAACTTCTTTGTTTTCTTTACTTGTTTTGAATGTTAAGGTTTTGGACA